ATATACACACACACACATATATACTAGATCAATCCATGGTGTTTATGTGAATCACTTATAACTGATCTACATGTAAACCAACACGTCCCATGGGCTGTGAGAAAACGCTATATGATTCTTTCCTACCAAAACTGATTGATTTGGATCAATTAAAACCATCCTTCTCTATTTGCTCACCCATGCCATTTTTGTCTCGATTCAATCCGGGCGTTTTACCAAATCAAACATGAAACGTTCAGTTCTATCCATGGTTAGATCCACACACAACTGTGTAGTGCAAGGCCCTGCCAGACTAGATAGACACTGATTGGGTAGATTAGGTAGGCCCTCATATTATACAGTTCTGGTAAATCTAAAGTTGATTGTACAAAGATTGTATGATGTATGGTGACCCTAAGGCTCGTTTCACACTGTTGCGACTTGGGATCTAACTTGTGAGCCCCCAAGTCGCATGACATGTGAAATCCCATGTTAGTCAATGAGAGCTGTCTTAGCACTACTGAAGTCGCTCCGACTTTAGAAAAGTTTCCTGTACTACGCAAGGCGACTTCTATTTGATATGTGCCCACAGACTTTAATGGAAGTTGCATCCTCATCTAGATTGAGGTGATTTGGATCTGACATTACAGGAAGGTTACCCAGGAATTCTCTGAATGTCGCTTCAGAGTAGTACTCAAGCCCTCTGGAAAAGTCACACTTTCAGGTTGCAGTAGTGTGAACCAAGACTAAGGCTCGGTTCACACCGTCGTGACTTGGGATCTGACTTGTGAGACCCCAAATCACATGACACGTGAAATCCCATGTTAGTCAATGAAAGCTGTCTTAGCACTGCTGAACTCACTCCTACTTTAGAAAAGGTTCCTGTACTACTTCAAGGCAACTTCTATACGACTTGTGCCCATAGGCTTTAATAGAAGTCACCTCAAAGTCAGATCCACATCTATATTGATGTGATTTGGATCTGACATTTCAGGAAGATTATCGAGGCACTCCCTGAAAGTTGCTTCAGAGTAGTACTCAGGTCCTCTGGAAAAGTCGCACTTTCAGGTCGCAGTAGTGTGAACCAAGACCAATGCAGGCCATAGATGGGTCGAAAACCGGCTGTTTAAAAAGAAAAAAACAAAAAACAAAAACAACCCCCCCCCCCCCAAAAAAAAAAAAAAAAAAAAAAAAAAAAAAAAAAAAGAAATGGCCAATTTTCATCTTGTCTACGGCCGGCATTTAATTACTTCTGTCCCTGCAGAGAGCTCCGCTATTATATTTGACACGAAAAAGTATTGCGGTTGCAACAACATATCTATTTGTATCCATTTCGGATACAGATGTGTTTATTCGGATACAAATAGATACATTGTTGCAACTGCAATACTTTTTCATGTCAAATATAATAATAGCGGACTGGAATTCTTATTCTTTTTCTTCTTTTTGCAGGTTACGGCTCATGTGCAGATTTTTTATCGGTAAAAAGACTGGCCGATTTGCCCATCATTGCCGGGAAAAAAAAAAAAAAGGGCCGATTTTTTCCCAACTTCACCGATAAAAAAAAATGTGCCAAAATCCCAAAAAACGGCCGACCAATTAACCCACTAATGGTGCAGAAAAAAAAAAAAAATCTGCTGATTTTTTTTTTTTTTTTTTTTTCGCCTGAAAAATCGGTCAATTTTCGACCCATCTATGGCCTGCATTAGGCTCTGTTTACACTGTCACGACTTGGGATCCGACTTGTGAACCCCCAAGTCGCATGGCATGTGAAATCCCATGTTAGTCAACAAGAGCTGTCTTAATTAGCAAAACTGAAGTCGCTCCGACTTTAGAAAATGTTTCTGTACTACGCAAGGCGATTTCTATCAGACTTGTGCCCATAGACTTTAATAGAGTCACCTCCAAGTCAGATCCTCATCTATATTGAGGTGACTTGGATCCGACATTACAGGAAGCTTACCCAGGCATTCTCTGAAAGTTGCTTCAAAGTAGTACTCCAGTCGCCTGGGAACATCGCACTGCAGGTCGCAGCAGTGTGAACCAAGCCTTAGGAGAACGCTGACTTTACTGAAAGCACAAAGTATTGCATGCAGCAGATAGGGAACACACTATCAAGGGTAAGCCATTAAATAAATCAGTCCACTTGTCATACAAGGAAAACTACCACAGTACAGGGAGTGAGCCTTCATAGGGGGATACAAGAGCTGCTGCTGAGGAGGGTGCACAGGACAGTACAATGAGAGCCAGCAGACCAAGCTGACAATGATTACCCCTGCAGATAGAAGCAGCACAGCACACTTCCCTGACTCTCCATGTACTACTCACCGACCTGTGCGCTCCAGTCACTGCACTGCTCTCCCCTCTGGGCTCAGACTGAGCAAAGTGAACAAGCCGCACCCTAGCCGGCCTCAGTCATAGGAGGGAGGATGGTGATGAGTGGCAGAGGTCCAGTCAGCGCTCCTCCTGTCTCCTCTCCCCGGCATATGCGCACTGCACGTCAGGAAGTCTCTTACCTCACACAGGCTGGCTGTGCACACATTGATTGGACTCACTCCACACAGAGCACTGAGAGCAAAAAGGGCGCCATTCTCCTCACACAAGACTACCTTCACATTAGGTAATACAGGTGACATTATAAACTAACTTCAATTATAACTAAAGGCACACCTTTTTTTTTGTGTGTTTTGGAGAGAGTGAAGAGGGACTAGACCCCTTGTCAGGTTTTTCTTTTATTGCTATCTCTGTCCGCATTTTGCTTCATGTACACGAGCAGCTGCTAAACTCGAGTTTAGGAGCTTTTGGCATTTTTTTGCCAAAGCTTCTAAACTGAACTCCATAAAAGCCTACGTGTCCATATACAGACAGACTTTTACCAGAGTTTAGGAGCTGCCGCGTTTAGGTGAGGTTAAACCTCCCTCTCCTGAACATGGAAGAATCGTGTAATATTTTAACCGTTTCAATACCGTGCAATTTTACACCTTCCTGCCCAGGCCATTTTTCACGTTTCAGCGCTCTCACACTTTGAATGACAATTGCGCGGTCATACAACACTGTACCCAAACTAAAATTTTATCATTTTCTTCACACAACTAGAGATTTCTTTTGGTGGTATTTAATCACCACTGGGGTTTTTATTTTTTGCTAAATTAACAAAAAAAGACCAAAAATTAAAAAAAAAAAACAAATTTTTCTTTGTTTCTGTTATAAAAGTTTACAAATAAATAATTGTTCTTCATAAATTTAGGCCGAGATGTATTCTGCTACATTTCTTTGGTGAAAATAACCCAAATTAGGATGTATTTTTTAGTTTTTAGGAAAGTTATAGAGTTCACAAACTATGGTATAGATCTGAAAATTGATCAATCCTGAAGTACTGACGGCCAATCTAATTTCTTGAGGTCCAAGAATGTCAGAATAGTACAGATATCCCCCAAATGACCCCTTTTTGCAGAGTAGACAGTCCAACGTACTTCATAAGAGGCATGGCGAGTTTTTTGAAGTTGTATTTTTTTGTCATAATTTTTCGGAAAATGAAAAAATGAAAAAAATTATATTCACTATTTTTTTTTTTTACATACTGTCACCAGTGCAGTACAGCGTCATCCTATAACTGGCATGGCGGTGAACAGGGACACTGACTGGTGACAGTATGAAAAAAAAAAAAAATATATTTTTTTTAATTTTTTTTATTTTTTTTATTATATTTAATTTTTAAGATTTTTTTTTCATATTTTACTATGACCAAAATAGTACAATGTTACCATAGTAACATTGTACTACTTTGGGGAAGTGATCAGTATTTTTTTTTTTACACAATTTGCTTATAGCAAAGAATTACTTTGCTATAAGCAAGCATTTATCTGAATGAAATCGATTCATTCAGCTTTTTTTTTTTTTTGTGCTTAGCTGTGATTTGGTCACAGCTAATCACATGACATGTGCATGTGATTAGCTGTGACCATTCACAGCTAGGCACTAGTATACAATGGATGGCATCATGAATGAAGCCATCCATTGTATACAACTGTCATGTGACCTGCTGTGATTGGTCACAGCAGGTCACATGGTACCAGCAACGGGAGCCGGTACTCGGATCTGTCATCGGCCGTGTCCGAGGTGCACGGCCGATGACAGATCGCGCTGCTGCGCCGCTCTGCACTAGCACAAACGGCGCATGTGCGGGAGCACGCCAAATGGCGTGCACCCGGAATGCAGATACACATCTGAAGCCGCCAAACGGCCATTGGCCGGGCGGCTAATGGTTAATCGTCGACCACGGGGAACTGCAAATTGTGGCAATGCAATTTGTGTTTTCACTCGTCCAGCAGTCAGGGTAGGCTTGTGTACATGGAGCCTTATGCAAGCCATTGACGGGTCGAAAATCAGCCGATTTTTCGGCCGAAAAAAAATCTGCCGATTTTCACACCGTTATTGGCTAATTGGTTGGCCGCTTTTCGGGGTTTTGGCACATTTTTTTATCGGTAAAAGTTGGAAAAAATTCGGCCGATTTTCCCGGCAATAATGGTCAAATCGGCCGATCGTTTTACCGATAAAAAAATCTGCAAATGAGCCGTGACCTGAAAGAAAAAGAAGAATTCCAGTCCGCTATTATATTTTATATGAAAAAGTATTGCGCTTGCAACAATGTATCTATTTGTATCCGAATAAAACCATCATGGATACATTGTTGCAAGCGCAATACTTTTTAATATAAAATATAATAGCGGAGCTCTCTGCAAGGGACAGAAGTAATTAACCACTTGCCTGCCAGGCACTTATACCCCCTTATTTACCAGGCCAATTTTCAGCTTTCAGCGCTGCCGCACTTTGATTGACAATTGCACGGTCATGCAACATTGTACCCATATGAAATTTTGATCATTTTTTCTCACAAATAGAGCTTTCTTTTGGTGGTATTTAATCGCCACTGGGCGCTTTACTTTTTGCGCTATAAAAAAAAAATTGCCAAAAATTAAAAAAAAAAAAAAAAAGTTTCTTTGTTTCTATTATAAAATTTTTCAAACAGGTAATTTTTCTCCTTCACTGATGTGCGTTGATGAGGCAGCACTGATGGGCACTGATAGGCAGCACTAAAGGGCACTGATAGGCAGTACTAATGAGGTGGCACGGATAGGCAGCACTGATAGGCAGCACTAATGAGGTGTCACGGATAGGCGGCACTAATATGCAGCACTGATAGGCGGCACTGATGACGGGTACTGATAGACGGCACTGACTGGCATCACTGCTGGGCACTGACTGGCGGCACTGACTGGCACAACCGCTGGGCACTGACTGGCAGCACTGCTGGGCTGCACTGGTGGGTGGGCACAGGTGGGTGGCACTGGTGGGCACAGGTGGGTGGCACTGCTGGGCACAGGTAGGTGGCACTTCTGGGCACAGGTGTGTGAAATTGCAGAGTGGCACAGGTGGGTGCACTGCTGGGCGCAGGTGGGTGCACTGCTGGGCACAGGTGGGCGGAGCTAGTGGGCGCACTGCAGGGCACAGGTGGGCGGAACTTGCGGGTGGCACTGCTGGGCACAGATCATCAGGGCACTGATCATCAGTGCCCTGATGATCGGTGCCGATCCCCGCTCTGACAACTGCCGGTTCTCGGCAGTACTTTCCTCACGATCTGACAGCGTGAGGAAAGTGCAGCCGAGAACCGGCACTTGCATTTCCCTCTGATCAGCGTGTCATTGGACACCGCTGATCAGGTGGTAAAAGGCCGCTGTGATTGGTCTTTTACCAATGTCCGTAGGACACAGCGATCACGGAGATCGCAGGGGGGCGCGCAGGAGAGCGCGTTCTGGGGGGACATCATATGACGTCCACCCAGAACTGGCCCGGCCGCAGTGCAGCCATCATTCGGCTATCTGCGGTCGGCAACAAGTTAAATGCTGGCCGTAGACGGAACGAAAATCAGCCGTTTTTTTTTTTTTCCTCCTTACTGTTGGTGGTAACGTCGGCCGATCGAACGACCGATTTTTCGTTTTTTTTTTATTATTATACAGGATTTATATAGCGCCAACAGTTTGCTCAGCGCTTTACGATATAATTATAAAAAAATGGCCAGTTTTCGACCCGTCTATGGCCTGCATTAGGGCTCATGTACACTGCACTTACGTTCAGGAGCTGTTCAGCGTTTTTTTTTCAAGCACGCCCTGAACTCTCCCTAATGTTTTCCTATGTGTCCATGTACACATCTGCATTTACAGGCATTTGAGTTTACAGTTGTTTTTTTGAACGCAGGAAACTTGCGTTCAGCAGTTGATTTTATCTGTGTTTCAAAAGCAAAACGCTTGTAAACGCAGCAAATCATGTTTATAAGCGGTTTAATTTTTTTTTAACTTTTCCAGTTCCCGATGCTGTCCAGAGCCTTTTTTCATCATGAAAAATGCATGCAAAGCATTTTCAAGGTACTCAGGTACTCAAATGGACAAAACAGGGAATATCCCTACCAAGCTTGTCACACAGTAATGACCAATTTCACACCTCAGACCTCTCCCACCCTTGGAAACAAAAGATATGTTAATGACCATTCACACCTCAAATTCCTCATGAAGACCTCCTGCCAGGTGACCCTAATGACTCCAGCAGACAACTTCCCACCCTTGGAAACCAAAGAAATGTTAATGAGCAACTCACACCTAAACTAATCTCAACACATACTGCTGTTTCTGCTTCTACTCTCTGTATTTCTCTAAAACAGTCTGAAATAGTTAATAATTTACCACTTTTCAGTGCATTCAGGGCATTTGGGTGGTTCTCCTGTGCTTATCTTTAAAAAGCGCTTCCAAACGCGCATAAATGCGTTATGCAAACACGGCTAAACAGACATTTTTTAACCCATGTTTTCCACCAGTCAGTTTCCATCATTCTGAAGTGTCCTGTGTACATGGAGCCTTAGGCACACTAGCAGGTGTTTTTTAAGCTAAAACAAATGCTGGATAAAAAAACACTGGTAATAGCGTTTTTTTAGTAACATCCGGAAACGTTTAGGAGCATTGTAGAGGACAAAAAAAGCTGTTAGAAGCATTATAGTAGTGTCACGGACTGCCAGTGCCTCTTCCATCCCCCGCCATATCCTTCCACCCCTCCCTTCCCCCTTGCACATTCAGATGTCTGTGGGGCTTCCATGGACAGGGCTGGGCCGGTCGTTGCCGAGGAAACCTAGCCACGTTCCACTTGGTCTTCAAAAGACCCGCACAGGAAGCAGCCCTCCTCTCCCTGTTCCTGTCCATGCTGCTGGAATCATCTTGCTCCCAGAAAGATGTTGGGAGGCTCGGGTGAACGGGACCGAGCCTCCCCAGCCATCCCCCCTGCACACTCTGCAGACCCCCAAAAGGTCAGGACTGTAGCCCTCTGCAATACCCCAGGGTTGGGAGTCTCCACAGCTCTGCATGAGCCTTCTCCTCAAAGGTCAGACCCCACAGCTGAGACCCTGCCAGTCTGTAAGCCTGTCTACTGGGCACCCTTGCACCCTGTCTGCTGCTGAGTGCCCTGGGAGCTGCTGCTGAGGGACCCTGCACACTGTCTGTGGCTGCGTGTCCCTGGAGGCTGTCTGCTGCTGAGTGCCCTGGGAGCTGCTGTTGAGGGACCCTGCACACTGTCCGTGGCTGCGTGTCCCTGGAAGCTGTCTGCTGCTGAGTGCCCTGGGAGCTGCTGCTGAGGGACCCTGCACACTGTCCGTAGTTGCATGTCCCTGGAAGCTGTCTGCTGCTGAATGCCCTGGGAGCTGCTGCTGTCTGCTGATCGCTGGTTGTCCCTGGAACGCTGACCGCTGGTCGTCCCTGTCTGGAGCCGCCTGCCGCTGAGGGTCTGCAAGCTGCTTACCGTGAGTGTCCTGAACTGTCCCCGCTGTGTGCACCGACCACCCGTGTCCTGAACTGTCCCTGTTGTGTGCACTGACCACCTGTGTCCTGAACTGTCCCCGCTGCCCGCTGTGTGCACCGACCACCCGTGTTCTGAACTGTCCCCGCTGTGTGCACCGACCAACCGTGTCCTGAACTGTCCCTGTTGTGTGCTCTGACCACCTGTGTCCTGAACTGTCCCCGCTGCCCGCTGTGTGCACCGACCACCCGTGTTCTGAACTGTCCCCCCCGCTGTGTGCACCGACCACCCGTGTCCTGAACTGTCCCTGTTGTGTGCACTTGACCACCTGTGTCCTGAACTGTGCCTGCTGTGTGCGCCGCCCACCCGTGTTCTGAACTGTCCCCGCTGTGTGCACCGCCCACCCGTGTTCTGAACTGCCCCCGCTGTGTGCACCGACCACCTGTGTTCTGAACTCTCCCGCTGTGTGCACCGACCACCCGTGTTCTGAACTGTCCCCGCTGGGTGGGAGCGGTGCTGAGGCCAGACTTCACAGCTAGAGTCCCGTTGAGTCCCCGAGACCCCTGCCTAAGGGGTAGGTTGCCGCCTGTTTCCCGAGGCCCCTGCCCAGTGGTAGGTTGCCGCCTGTTGCCCAAGGCCCCTGCCCAGTGGTAGGTTGCCGCCTGTTGACCGAGGCCCCTGCCCAGTGGTAGGTTGCCGCCTGTTGCCCGAGGCCCCTGCCCAGTGGTAGGTTGCCACCTGTTGCCCGAGACCCCTGCCCAGGGGTAGATTGCCGCCTGTTGCCCGAGTCTTTAATCCGCTGTCCAGTCACGGAGGGAGCTCAGCTGAGGCCCCAAGCCTAGGGGGGAGATTGCCTGCCTGTTGCTGAAGACCCCCCGTGCCTGGAATCGTCCCTGGTTTGCGCACACATCCCCCTCCCTGCCATTTCCCCATTGAGTGTCTGTCATTTTGTTGCTTCAATAAAGTTTTGTGTGTTCCCCATCTTCTCCGTGTGCTCTGTCCTGCCTATGCTTCCGTTACAAGTAGCATTTAGCGTTTTTTTTTTCTGCTGGAAAAACGCAGTCACATGATTGGGAAAGGTCCCGATCGAAAGGGGAGATCGGGACCTTTCCGTGAGTACCGGACGTGTGCTGGGAGGGCTCAGGGCACGCGCTCTCAGCACACACAGGTGAAACTCGAAAAATTAGAATATCGTGCAAAAGTTCATTTATTTCAGTAATGCAACTTAAAAGGTGAAACTAATATATGAGATAGACTCAGTACATGCAAAGCAAGATAGTTCAAGCCGTGATTTGTCATAATTGTGATGATTATGAAAATTAAAATATTGTGAAAAGGTGCAATATTCTCGGCTTAAAGTGTCCCACTCTAATCAGCTAATTAAGCCATAACACCTGCAAAGGGTTCCTGAGCCTTTAAATGGTCTCTCAGTCTGGTTCAGTAGGAATCACAATCATGGGAAAGACTGCTGACCTGACAGCTGTGCAGAAAACCATCATTGACACCCTCCATAAGAAGGGAAAGCCTCAAAAGGTAATTGCAAAAGAAGTTGGATATTCCCAAAGTGCTGTATCAAAGCACATTAATAGAAAGTTATGTGGAAAGGAAAAGTGTGGAAGAAAAAGGTGCACAAGCAGCAGGGATGACCGCAGTCTGGAGAGGATTGTCAGGAAAATGCCATTCAAAAGTGTTGGGGACTTTCACAAGGAGTGGATTGAGGCTGGAGTCAGTGCATCAAGAGCCACCACACACAGACAGATCCTGGACATGGGCTTCAAATGTCGTATTCCTCTTTTCAAGCCGCTCCTGAACAACAAACCAACGTCAGAAGCGTCTTACCTGGGCTAAAGAAAAACAGACCTGGTCTGTTGCTCAGTGGTCCAAACTCCTCTTTTCTGATGAGAGCAACTTTTGCATCTCATTTGGAAACCAAGGACCCAGAGTATGGAGGAAGAATGGAGAGGCACACACTGCAAGATGCTTGAAGTCCAGTGTGAAGTTTCCACAGTCTGTGTTGACTTGGGGAGCCAAGTCATCTTTTGGTGTTTGTCGACTGTGCTTCATTAAGTCCAGGGTCAACGCAGCCATCTACCAGGATATTTTGGAAAACTTCATGCTTACTTCCGCAGATGAGCTTTATGGGGATGCTAACTTCATTTTCCAGCAGGACTTGGCACCTGCCCACACTGCCAAAAGCACCAAAACCTGGTTAAGTGACCGTGGGATTACTGTGCTTGATTGGCCAGCAAACTCGCCTGACCTGAACCCCATAGAGAATCTATGGGGCATTGCCAAGAGAAAGATGAGAGACATGAGACTGAACAATGCAGAAGAGCTGAAGGCCGCTGTTGAAGCATCCTGGTCTTCCATAACACCTTAGCAGTGCCACAGGCTGATAGCTTCCATGCCATGCCGCATTGAGGCAGTAATTGCTGCAAAAGGGGCCCAAACCAAGTACTGAGTACATATGCATGCTTATACTTTTCAGAGGTCCGATATTGTTCTTTGTACAATCCTTGTTTTATTGATTGCATGTAATATTCTAATTTTCTGAGATTGTGGATTTGGGGTTTTCATGAGCTGTAAGCCATAATCATCACAATTATGACAAATCACGGCTTGAACTATCTTGCTTTGCATGTAATGAGTCTATGTTATATATTAGTTTCACCTTTTATGTTGCATTACTGAAAGAAATGAACTTTTGCACGATATTCTATTTTTTCGAGTTTCACCTGTATGTTCTTTTTTTAATAGAATGCAAATGTGCGGCCGGGAGGCTTCACATTTGCGTTTGGCCGGCGTGAAGAGGTTAAAGTAACTCAGCGCCGTATCACAAAAAATGGCCTGATCAGGAAGGAGGGTAAATCCTTTGGCTGGTAAGCTGTAATTAACACAAAAATGACTGGAACTCTGCTTTAAGTAGTGTGCATGAACACGTGGGATAACACTATTTAGCTTCTAGGAGCAGAAAAAAAATATGCTAATAGCTTCTAGGAGCTTAAAAAAATGCTAGTGTGCATAGAGCCTTAGCCTCTACTTGTCCTGTTTAAAAGTAATAAAAGTAAAAGAAAATGCCAAATTTTGAGTTGTCCTCAGAACAGTACTATAGGGGAAAGCTTTCAAAGGGGGCACTAGTCCTGGTGACAACCAGGCATTCTCTCACTTTGGAGGGATTTTCTGTCTCTTCCAGTTTTGGCTATGTGACAGGAAATGAAAGGGAAAAAGGACAAAAAACTGACACGGGATTCTAACCCTCCTGTACTCTCCCACCCTTTTTCAACCAGGGTGCTCCAAGGTTCCTTCAGGGGTGCCTTGGAAAAATATCTAAACATTTCTCAGAATTTGTATATAAGCCAGCAGGAGGAACAAGTCTACTTTTAATTACAGAAAGCCATAGGTTTTCATTGTGCGCCTTTACGACCTTCTAGCCACTGCTGTCCTAACAAACAATGACATAATCAGTTCATAATGATAATGTCAGTAGCCTGCACAGCATCCTTGTTTGCCCATCCCCTGCCCCTCTCTGTCAGTGCTGGGGGTCACATTAGCTGAGTGACGGAGAAAGAGAAACACTGGAATATTACTTCGTACCAGTGTGCAAAAGTGTATTTGCTTTGGAAGAATAAATAGCCTCTAATGTTGGGTGTCTTACGTCTGTGGATGTTGCTGCGTTATACAAGATTGTTAGAATAGTGTTTTTACATTTTAGAATAGCATGCCTCAAGACTGTTCATTATTTTAGAGGGTGCCTCAGGACTGTTCATAATTTTAGAGGTTGACCGAAAAAAGGTTGAGAAACACTGATCTAGCCAAATTAAAAAAAAAAAAATGTTGCTTTTAGTTTTACTATAACCCTTTTACTGCCAGGTCTGTATGCCATACGAACCTAACAGCAACAGAAGGGGGGTATATCACAGTGTGTGTATATCCGACAAGCCGACCAGCATGGCAGGTGCATCTGGGTAGAGGGTAGAGAGCGTGTGTCTACTCTCCTCCCCTTTTTTGTGGGGAGGAGAAGCAACGTGTTGAACATCACTTCTGGGTCCCTGTGTCTCTTTCCTAGACCTGCATGGCTGGGGAAGAATCTAATGCAGTGTGATCTGCACTTTATACGATTCAATGGAGGACAGGTAAGACTAAAAGACTCCAGATGTCTCATTAAAAAGAACCTGCCACCAAAAATATCATCACATAGAAGATTTTTTTTTTCCCCTGTGGGTTGAAAATAAAAAGGTTAAAGTGTTACTAAACCCATGACCACACTACACAGAACGAGGAAATACAAGTATTTTAGTAAATATAAACTGCTAAATACCTTTTCTCATCAGCAGTATATAGCAGTCTTGTGACTTCTATCAGTGTCCAGTTGAGCACTGGTTAATGCTTTAGGTGTCATCCTCGTATTGTTTTTGTCAGTCAGCGGTTGGCTTTCTTGTAAAAGCAATCTTAGGGACATCCCCCTCTGCTGTCTTCTGCTTTTCTCCCGGGTCCTCCCAACCCACTGGGATACCATATCACCGGGATGACCATAGAGCTGATCGGAAAAGGCTCCTGGCATCTCTATGGTCAAAGAAACTGGAAGCGATGAGCATTTCTTCTCTTCCACTTTTGTCAGATGTAAACAAACCCTTAGTGGTTTAAAAAAACCAACAGATCATACCAATCTTTGTATGATCCAAAGCTTTGAAGGGCAGAGAAGAGATCTAGGGTCTAATAGACCTGCAGATCTCTCAGTAAAGAGTACCTGTCACTGCCGATTACTATCTCAGGGGATATTTATATTCCCTGTGATAACATTAAAAGTGATAAAAATTAAATGTAAAGCTTAAGAAAAAAATTTAAGTGCCCCCTGTGCTCACGTGCAAGGGTGAATGCACGCATGTGTAAACAGCAATCGCACCACACATGTGAAGTATCACTGCGAACGTCGGAACAAGGGCAGTAATTCTAGCACCAGACCTGTGTAAATCTAAAGTAATAACCTGTAAAGTCACCTATAAAGGCACCAATGGATAATAGTATATTACCAAGGATCAAGGAGAACCAGATGAAATCTCAATTCGTAAGTGTAAAGAAATTCAGGGCCCAGTTATTGCTGAAGACACTTGTTTGTATTTTAATGCTGTAGGAGGTCTGCCAGGTCCTTATATGGCTCTTTTTGTCTTCTTCCAACATATTGTTTAGAACACAGCCGAGACTGGAAGGAATTGATTCTATTTACGTGGAATGCATGTGAGCCTGTACTGCACTTATAATATGTGAGTGGCATTCTTTTATTTAATAAACATTTTGTGAGTTTTACTACACTATGGACGACCCTGTTTATTATCTCTCCTGAGCATTCGCTCATTTAAACTGACAGTCAGGAAGCATCTACTAGAGTGTTCCGTTAAGGGTGGAAAGAGAGCAAGTATACACCATTTGGGGATTTAGCAGACAAAGCGCATTTGACCTATATGGATTTTTAGGTCAATACTAGCGATGAGAGGCCACTTTGTACAGTGGTTGAGCACATTTTGTTGATGTCATACTGGGGAGTCATTGCTATATTCATGCATTGAAAACTGTAAGTTTTCATTTGGTGTATATGCACATTAAAAGGTAATGTTCCCAATGGATAAATACTGAGTGGGATACACACACCATTTATTTGGTTCATTTTCATTACGATTGCTATTTCATTACCATTGCTATATAAGGTGCACTCAATTACTGATTCATTCAAGATATGACATATGTAGCCAGGTGCTGGCTATATCATTATGCCATTAAGGGACATTTACAGATGAGACTATGCTTATTCCTTTTGCCCCTAGTGCCCAGTACTATGACTGCTACATCATCTCCTGTTAGCAGAGTGGATCCAGTTCTTCTGACAACAGAGGATCTTGGGACCTGTA